AGAAGAGTTAATAAAACACATAAAACTTGTGTCAAAAGCATATTTTATGTTGTTGTAGATAAATGTGTCCACCCAAGGAAAAGTTTGTGTAACAGTTTATGTAGACGATACAATAGAGACAGTAAAAAATACTTTGGAGTTGGAGTGTTGAGGATGTGTTATATATGGACCATCACATTTGCATTATTAGCTTTTCTCTTTCCTTTTAAAAAATAAGCTTAGGTAGCCAAACTCTACCTCAATTCTTTTGTTTCAAGTCCTATTGCTCTCCAGAGTACTGTTCAGGCATGAGAAACCACAAAAGTTTCTATCTAATTTTGAAAACTACTCTGTGAGCTTTCAGACTCAGAGCCTACGGGCAGTTTTTTTTTTCTCCAATATTGGATATCATAATATACTATAATACTGGATATTATTGGACCTTGGATGTCCAGGATCTTTCTTTAAAATGCCCTTCCCAATCCACATTTCAGATGCCACTCCCCAAAAGAAGGAAACCATAGGTGTGGCACTGGAATTTAATTTTTTTTAGCAAACCATGTTGAAATGAATTCTCAGAATCAGTAAATGTTTCATTCTTAATTACAAATATGTAAAATTATTACCAAAATAACTACTGTGACCTAGAAGTTGTGGTTAATCTGTAAAATGTGTTTTTTCTTGAAAATGTGAAATTGAATTTTTTGAAATGTATCCTTGAACACTTTTWAAAAGTAAATAAGTGTTGGTTTTTCATAACAAAATGAGTGGTTTGCTGCAGTCTGATGACTCAGGACAAAATAATGAATTTTGGAATTACTCATTGTGCTGTGTTGCCAGTGTAAATCTGGCTAGGATGCATAATAGCTGAAAGCTCTTGCAAAATTAGTGTCTGATCAATGTTTTACATAAAATATACACTATCTGAGGAGATAAAGCCAAGGCACAAATCTTACCATCATCATTGGCATCCACACTGGCAATCTCAGAAAAAGTCAGMTTTCTGAATGTTATGAAAAACAAGGATATGTCTCCAGGTCAAGACTGCGAGTCAGATTGTTATTGAAAGCTTGAAGGGCTCTTGCATTTCCATTTGGAGCAGCTGGGGGGGAAATGAACTTTTAAGATGGAACTTGATCTGGTCATGAAAAGAATTGCATGATATGACTGCATGTGACAGCACTAAAACAGCCATAGTGACACAGCAAATAGTTCTGCACTTATCACCCTGATTGCTATTCCTGTTTTGTGGGTAAAAAACCAAAAAGCACAAAATTATCAGGATTGTTGAAATRGGACCTTTTTTTAAGGCAAAAAGGTAAATAAAGTGAAAAGGCAAATAATATTCATTCAGTTCAGTCAGTCAGACCTGAACTTCTATACAAGCTTTTATGCAAACTGCTAAGGGCACTTTACTATCAAATAGTATAAAAGCCAAAAAAATAAAAAGTTTAAATGCCAAGTCAAACAAATATATCTTGCCAAAGACTCAGAATCCTATGAATAAGGACTAAGGAGTTCAGCAAATTTGAAATAAATTTGCTTTAAATAAGTCTTTAAATAAGACTTTAAATAAGTCTTTAAATAAGTCTTAGTTATTTAACTAATAAGTCTTTAAATAAGTCTTAGTCTCCGAATATACCTGCCAGTATGTAGAAGAGATAATTAATTGTCACAGCAGGAATGAAAAGTGCATGCTGGAATGTGAAGAATACAAAGGCTCTGGACTGTCACAGCACAGAGTAAATCCATCTGTTATGTTTTTGGGTTTTTTTCCGAGGTGCAGGGGCAATTGCAGTGGCCAAGTTTAGTGGAGCAGGCACAAGCTGACTGGTGGTTACTTGCACTTTCTTCTTTTCTTCTGAAATCTGAAGAAAATTTTTGAAATCCTCAGAATTAAAGATATGATGGAAGGATAAAACCAAACCAATTTTTCAGAATTCTTGACCATGTTCAATTCTTGTTCAGAAATGCTCAAGAGAAACAGAAAGACAAACCTTGCTGGTTTGGTTTTACAAGTTTCATCTGGCTGAAGCTCTGAGTGTAGTTAAGCAGGTCAGCCTGAGTCATTCAGCTGATTTTAGAAAATATTGCTTTAATGCCACAGTATGGAACTGCTACATGCCTGAGAGGCCTGGATTTTCAGTTGTCCTTGAAGCCAAGACTTTTCCAAATGCTTACAAGAAATGATAGTTTAAAACCACTCACAAAAATGAAGCACATGAATTCTTGCTACAAGGGGAAATTCAGGATAGAGTAATTTTTTTCCTAATGTATTCTGAAGTTGATATTACAGACAAAATTAAAGACTGCCTAACAAGGCCATGGCACACACAGTGGAGCTACTGCTGTGGCAGAAGGCTTGATGCTTTTCAGAGGCACGATACTTTGAAATACCTCCTGTTCAAAAAGGGCCAGTGCTTTGTGTTTTTAGACTGAAGGAAAATATCCCATATGTATACCTCTTTTTCTTTTTCTTTCTTTATTTTTTTTAAATAAAGGATAATAGAAGTTCTATAAATGCAACCTTTCTTTTGAAAAGGAGCAACCTAAAATGGAGACAACATATGTAGTTTGAATTTCCAAACCAAACAGTTCAGAGATCTTCCTTGGAAGAAATATAGTGTCTCAAGGGCAGTGTATATTTTGATTGCTTCGTCTTCTGCAAGTTGCAGTTAAGCTAAGGTTTATGATAAACTGAGAGAGAAAAGTTTAGCGATGAACCCACAGGAGCCAATAAAAGTTTTCCYCTGCACTAGAAGCAGATCCAGTTCATATACCATTCATGAATTGAACAAATGAGTCCTAAAAACTTATGCTGGCTGCTTGGAAGATCAAGCACATAAAAGAATAAAGTCACATAAGTTGTTTCTGTGTGCAAAAAGACTGTGGGTTACAGGATTAATTTTTTATAGTATATCTCTATACCCTGGATAACCAAGTAAGCCTTAACTTGTGGAATCTTAATAGCCATCTCATTGCTGAAGTCTAAAGGAAACCCAGAGGAAACTTAATAATATTAAAAGTTATTTTAAAGGGAGTTCACGTTGGTTTGAAGGATATTTTGCTTCRCACACAATATCCACCATTGTAAATTCAGAGAACCTAGATTCAAATTCAGAAAAGCTTCACACATYTTTACAGTTCTCAATATATAAATCTAATAGCATTCTTAAAATGTTCACCAGTAAAACATTAATATTTTACAGATAAAATTAAAACTCTGAAAGTCATTGGAAGGAAAAATAAAAAAAAATAGTAAAAATATTCCTTCTAGAAATGAAGGGAAACATGGAACTTTGTGGTAAGAGGCTAGCTTGTCCATGTTGTTATGAATAGAGAATAGTCTGTACAGTTTTTCATATCTGACTTGCAACAGAAGATTGGAACATATAGAAATTAATGTTACTGAATTATTTAATAGTAACTCAAACACATGAAAAGAAGAATTAAAGAAACACAGGACTAAAAAGTCATTTAAAATGAAATCAGAAGCTTCAACAAATATATTTTTCCCTTGCAGTCAGAAAAGTAATTATCAAAATTGTTCAGAATATGTTGCCAATTACTCTGCTCCATAACTGCTAACTTTCTCAGTTCTTCTYTTGCCTTTGCTGGGCTCTCTGTCACTGGAAACATCTTAAACCAATTTAAAGTGCTACACCTGAATAAACATGTTGTAAAAGTGTTTATGTATTGAAGTGGGTCAGTTCAAGGTATGGTATTTGGCTGGAACTTCTAATTTCTCTTTTTACTGCAAAAGGGCTGCCAGAAGGAGGAAGTCTGAGCTGAATTAATACATTTGTTACAGTGGAAGTAGAATGGAAACTACTTTAACCACAAATCAAACTGCCTCTTTCATTTACGCCAGTGATAGAGTTTTTTTAAGAAATATAGACTCTGGCRTGCAGCCACTGTAAGTTTGTGTTTGAAAAGGAAGCCTATATGCTTATTTCTATAAGGTTTGCTCCTATGCTTGTTTGCAAGCTCTTTTCCAGGGTGCTCGAGTTAACAGCATTATAGGTTTGTGAGGCAGATGCTCCTTGGTTGCCCGTGTRGCAAACTTTTCCAGTGGGTTTAGAGAAGCCCCAGGCGCCCCGATGCCGCCCGGCGCTGTGCCTGTGCCCGTACCTTCCCGTGTAAAGGACCTCTGTGTCCCCCACCCCGCACAGCTGCACAGCTTCACATGACACTGTCTCATTTTCTGACGCTTGAAGGGCTCTGCATAATACACGTACGCACAAAAGTGTTTATGCTGCCAAAATAAATTCTGTTAAGAGCAAGGGTTTATTTGCTAAAATGTCACTGATGCCGTTTCAGTGACTTGTTTTGCTTTCCTTTCTTTCAGTGAGGTTTAGACCACATAATATAGTGAGGTTACCACACAGTCCTGACTGAACAAATATTTTAAAGAAATATGCACATCTCCTGGGAACAGAACCAGAGTCAATAACATACATATTTCAAACTCTCTTCTCTTGAAAGACTGAATGGTTTCCTGCCTTTACTGGTGAATGAACATCAGTTTGACTAACACTGCACAATATTTATTTTTAAAGCAGAATTATATTTATTATCTACAGTTCCATTTGCTACTGATTTGCTTTGGGAATATAAGGTTCCACGTCACACTGAAATGGTGCAAAAATGAGAAGACCGCATTACATTATCMTTTCTGTAGCAAATGGACTTTAGCGGGGATCATTTATTTTTCAGTTCTATAGATGTATGCATGAGACTGAATTAAAATGCCTGTGCAATGAATAAGATATATAGCACACAGAGACTGCAATTTCATRCAATAACAAATTGTACCTATAAAGCTGTTGAAACTTTTGCAAGTGGTTGAGTTTTTTGTCTTTTATGTTCTGTTCAACGAAGTGCGAAGAAGATTCCTAATCATGTAAATTCAGGATTAYWGCAAATTCCTTGCTATGCTTCASTCAGCGAYTGAACTCCCACCGTGGCTTTGGGTSGGGCACAAGTTCACCTTTAAACTTGTAATTTCCATTGCTTTATAGGTCGAAGCATCAATGTTAAATCTGCTGGCCTGGTTGGAAGACATGGACCTCAGTCAAAGCAGCCATTCATGGTTGCATTCTTCAAGGCAAGCGAAGTGCTTTTCCGTTCTGTCCGAGCAGCCAACAATAAAAGGAAAAATCAGAACCGCAGCAAATCCGGTAGTCAGCAGGAGTCTTCCAGGATGCCCAGCGTTGGGGGTAAGATGGAGCTATCATTTCCTGGTCTGTTCATACGAGTTATGGGCACCTGCTCAAATGCAATGAAGTCACAACAGCTCAAAAAGATGCTGCTTATAAGCTGAACTCTCCGAAACCATATTCCCACACCTCTTTTGTTATGCTGGCCGCAGGCATGATTGACCTTCTGTAAGTCAGAGCAGTCACCTKTATCGTGGGCCCCAGGAGGGTGAAATGGCCAGGCGGTTTAAGGCAGGYTATGACTGAATTTTAAACTAGTCCTAGGCAGTAGGTAACTGTATGATATTTTTGCTATGCATTATTAAAAAATAGAAGGTAAAAAGAAGGATTGCACCCTAATTACTTGTCTAGGAAGCCTCAGCAAAGGACAATGTTTAGACTTTTACTAAACTGCCTCTCAGCTGAAGAAGAYGAGATATAACACAAAAATCTCAATRCTGGAAATGAGAAATCTTCAGCAATCTGAAAAATTGTAAAACTGGTTATGAGTTCAGATCAGCTGACAAATATTGATGTGAATATAGAATATATCCCTCTATGATGTGAATTCGGTCCCTCACCTGAAATGTTCTGACAATGATGCACATGACAATGTTCTCAATYCTTTTAGAGCCTGGAATAAGTTTTGCTCCAGTTTTTCCCAAAGCGCTCCTTTCAGCTGAAGGCACAAATTCACTTGCTAAATAAGTCACTTTTGAACAAACATTTCTATTTTTGGGAAAAGGGTGGGACAGTGTATCTTTCTAGAACCATGGCAGATTTAACAACAGCATATCAAAACCTTAATATAACTCTGTTCTTAAACCCCATGGATGTCTACAAGTAAGCAAATCAGCATTTTGTGGAAGGAATTTAACCTGGAGGTGGGACCCATTTGTTTGAGGAGAAATGTTATCAGCAATATGATTACTTATATCCATCTCAGGACCTTGGCAGAGGCAGGCTAGAGACTACTCTAATGCAATATAAAAGCCTTTCCCAGATAATTTGCAGAAATATAATTTTACCAAAGCAAACAAAAAYGAGTATTGAGTTGCTGAAGAAGTCAAAGAAATTATTTAAATATTTTTGTAATAKTGTAAAAAGCCTGCTAATTTTGAGAATCACATTATTTTGGGTGAAGGAAAAATCATCTAAGTACATCACAAGATATATTTAGATGAGATAAATACACACAAGATACCTAAATACAAACATCACGTTTTCAGATTGAATCCTATGTATCTAGTGAATGAAAAAAAAAGAGAATTGAACAGATTCTTATGTCTTGTTGATTGTAGCAGGAAAGCTGAATGTAAGATCCTTGCTGGTTTAACCTGGGAAAAACACAACCTTATCATGGGCTGGCAAGTTGCATTGACATGAGAATTACCTCAGGGAGAGCTGTTTGTAAGTCTCAAAATATTTTTCAACCTTGCCTGTGCATCCAGTTTTGCTCCAGACCTGTTGAGAAACAAAAAAAAAAATTAAAAAATCAGGACATCTGTAATGAAATGTGCATTATGAAACAAATTTTCTCCTAATTTTTTTAAGGTCTACATAAACGTAGAGTACATCACTACATATGTTGACTCCTGGCAGATCTCTTTCAAAAGAGATTGGAGTTCAAGAAAACCATACTGGTTAATAAGTAATTTCACATGCAATTGCATCAAAATCAAGGCATTGACCACTGCCTGGAGGGGGGGCTGGAGAAGATGGCATATCTGGGGATATACTGCATCCCTTCAGGTTTCTGAGAGAAGGCTAATTCTCCAAGTTCTCTACAGCTTCCAGTAATGAGCAGAACTTCAATAGTATAATTCATCTCATAATATTTAAACACAAAAGTTTTTTTTTTTATAAAAAACCAAAGAATTCTGCCCATCATCTTTCTCATGGAAGACTGTCATAGACTATATTCAGTTCTCATTCACTCCTTGATGCAAGACACTTGACACAGTGTTGGGAAAAGATAATTGTGTGATGTAGGTCTTTTGTTTCTAAGCTTCTTCCATCATCATGTATCTACAGCATCTAAGACAGACATTGACAGCGAAAAATGCTCACTCACACAGCCAAAGGTAATGTAGCCAGACCCAGATAGGTGTGTTGTCATTCACAGCTCACAGATTTTGTATATACCCCTCTCTACACATCAGTCTCAACTTTATCCCAATCATGTCTTCATTTTCTCATTGCTTCTGTCTTCTCCATTTTCTGTTCCCTTTTTCCCTTTTCTTTTGTTTTTTTTCCTGTTTCCCTTTGCCCTTGCCTTTTGTCATCCTTTTTTTTTTTTTTTTAAATTCTTGGATTTCAGCAATTAACTTTATTGTGTGCTCAGCATGTCAAAAAGGAAGGCCCCATTGGACAACTCAGCTCTTCCCTTCCAAAGGGCAATTTTAATTATTTGTGAAGTTTCACAAAAACATAGAATGGTTTAGKTTAGAAGAAACYTGGTCTAGTGGAARGTGTCCCTGTCCATGATCTTTAAGGTCACTTCCAAGTAACACTCTGTGATTCTGTTATATACACAATCACAATATGAAGAAAATAAGATCTTCTGTGTTGGTTATTAYAACAGCTGGGAAATTGTCAACAGACTTGGGGTTATTACCCCCGTGTTGCTAAGAATTTCAAGAAAACATGATGTAARTGCAATGTAAATACAGCCAGAATTAAGCTTAGCATTCAGGCTCTACCTGCCTTTGACTATGGTCAAACTGTAGATAATAGAAAAAAATAATTAAAACCCCAAACCACACCAAAACCAAAACCAGACAAGTTGTTCACAAAGTACACCACATAACTCTCCCCTAAATAAAGCCTGCCTTAATTTTATTGTTTTATCATTGTCCAAAAAGAGTTACGGTGTAACTGGACACTAGAGAAAATTCATATTTAAACACTGAATATTGACTTACACCAGGAAACTAAAAACCAAAGCTACATATTTTTTTTCATAATGCAGTGAGATAAAACCAGAAAACAATACTTAAGGTTGCATTTTTTTGTATGTTATTGATTGGTGTTTCACTAACTGATTGAAAATATAGTACTTTGGAATAGCATGTATAAACATGTTTTATGTCTTTATTTCCCCTGGAAAAAAAMMAAAAAACCCTCATGAAATTTCTTATACATATATTTTATTGCCCTCCTTCCACAGCTCTTTCTGCTATGTAAGGCTTAAGATTCCAAGTGCAGTCCCTGCAAAGCTGAGGAACAATGTTTTCTCAATCACAATAACCTATGGTTTTGATTCTTGACAGAATAAGTATATGGGCCTTGAAGCTACAGTATGTGAAATTGAATCCTTGGCACCAGATCTGATTATAAATGTCACATTTGATACTTATATGAAATGTTATATTACACACAACATTTGTCTTATATAAAAGATAGAATTCAAGGAGGGAATACAGATTTTCCTGAGTCTCTCTTTCTTCGTAGGGGAATGGGTTAGGTGGCTTACAGTCTGCATATGCAGGCCATTTTATCAGGCATTCTGGTGTGACAACACATCCTTTGAACCTATATTCAAATGGTTCAGAATATCTCAACAATAAYGACATCTGTGCGATAATTTACATATTTCTTTTTCTTTTAACTGTAGGGATTTCTGCTGCATTCTGGCATTAAAATTTCTGTACATGTTCTCGAATATGAAAATGTCATTGCAGAGAAAGTTGGCACAACCACAATCTTCAGTTTTCACTTGTTTGCTTGCTTGAATGCTATTTTAAACCATATAATGACTTTCCTGATTTTCTCATGTGCATCTTTTCCACATTTTTCAGTCACAGTTTTTTTGCAAAGTGGCTTGTGTTCTATATGTATGACTTTTCAATTCCCACCAATAGCTGAGACAGAAAAGCTCAATATTGACCTCCTATGAGCACTGATGTCAGGGAAAATAGACGTATAGCTCCCTGTGAAGAATGATCAATGAACACAACTCTATTTTTTTTAAGTTCCTTTACTTTCAGCTACCCTCACTGTACTTCTGGAGTGTGAGAGGAACATATTAGATTATTGCAGACAACTCAGCATAAGACATTAGTTAGGGGTTTTGGTTGCATTAAAGACATACAGATTTTTGAAAACTTGTGATGACTAGGGAATCCTGCTTTGCTTTCAAAGTTTCTACTCCATGAAAACTGGAGAATTCCCATGGGATGTGGGTGTGTATTTTGATCCTGCATGCACTGGGACAGCTGAGAGTATCTGAGATAGCAACACATAACCAGCTGCATGTGGATATCCTTCCATGACTGTCATTGAAGRGCTAGGAAAATGCCATAGGAAAGAATGCAGTGTTTGCCTTTAAAAAGTGTGAGGATTTGAGGTATTATAGCTTAGAAAGCCTAACTTAACATCCCTGATGGTTATTTGGTATTTCAAATGGACATATCTTGTCTTGTGGACAGTTTTTGTCACAATTCTGGAAGTTGTATCAGGCCCATGTGTATGAATAGAAAGTAGGTGTACAGCCTATCTAAAAAAATAAAGAAAAAGCCTATTCAAAGAGCATGTTAGCAATAAGAGAAAAATTTGTTTGGGTATTTTGAATGACATCTTGTCGAGTCTCTTCTGGATCCGGTTCAGTCCAATCTTTTATTGGTAATTTGGATGATTGAGCACTCCTCCTAGATCTCATATCCTCTGTGAACTTCCAGAGAGCACATTCTGTTCTATTGTCCAAGTCGTTAACAAAGCTTTTATTACCAGCACTGATCCTTTAGGGACATTCCCAGTAACCAACTGCCAGGGGCACTTTGTACCACTGATCCCAACTCTCTGGTCCCAGCCAAGTTTCCACCCATTATATTCTTCTTATCTATCAAAGGTTCTCTTCCCTATCAAAGTTATTGATTGGTTTGACCAATTTGACTTGAGGAATACTATGGGAGGCCATATCCAAAACCTTCCTAAAAGCAAAGGGAACAACACACAGAGCTCCTCCAAAGCCCACAAAACTAGTCAGATAATCACAGAAAACAGTCAGATTGGTCAGGCACATTTTGAACAAGTAAATTCATGCTGACTGTTCCCAAAACMCCTTCTTGTTCTTTGTGTGCCTGGACAGTTTCCATGAGAATTTGTTCCAAAGACTTCCAAGAAACTGAGTTTGAGCCGATTTGCCTTCTTGAAGATGGGTGTGACATTTTCCATTTTGAATCATCTGAAATGCCTTTCCGTGTATGAATGCTCAAAAAATGGCAAGAAGTGACTTGCAATATTGATCAGCTCATTCCCCACCCTGAAATTCATCTGTTCTGYTCTCATGGACTGATGTATCTTCAAGTTGCTTAACTGATTCCTAACTTTATTTCTTTTAGTGCAGATAGAGCTTCAGCYGCTAGTTTTGGGAGTTCTGAGGGTGAATCTTTCCAGTTAAAAACAAGGCAAAGAATTAATTGACCATGTTAACCTGTTCTGAGTCCTTKTCACTAGGTCCTTTTCTGTCCTGAACATCAAAGCTGTATTTTTCTTATGTTTTCTTTTTGCTRTGGATGTAGGTATAGAAGTGCTTCTTGTTGACCTTCACATCCCTCACATTTCAACTCCAGCTAAGCTTTAGCTTTCCTAATATCCATCCCTGCATGTCCAGGCAATRTGTTTACATTATTTCTGTGTAGTTCATCCCAATTGCACATTACTTTTGCTTCCTATTTGAATCTGAGTTCAGTCAAGGTTTTCCTAGTCAGCCACTGTGGATTTGTGCCATACTTGCTTGGCTTGCAACAGGTTGCAATGCTGTTGTTGATGCCATCCCTAAAACTTTACCATGGTTGCTGCAGCTACATCATGCTCAGTTCTCATCAGCATCCTCACCCCCAATTTGTTCTTTATTCATTGATTTGTATAACTACAACAGAGTCCTAAGCTGATGAGGCAGGAGTAAAAAAAAAGTTTGGAAGCTAATTATTTGACAGTGTGGCTTTGCTGCAAAACTGTTACTCTGGGTTATRCTACTAGAAAAATAAGGCTGAAATAATAAATAAATAACTACTTTACTCTATTTTACGCTGTGTTTGGTTGTGGCCATCACATCTTGGGAAAGAAACAGAGAAGCTGAAGAGAACCCAGAGAATTCCAGAGAAGCAATGGTAGCAGAGGTCAGGATGGCTGACAAGAGGCCCTTGGCAAATTTATGGAAAAACTGCTCTAGGCCATATATTTGGAAGAGTTTTCTGCAAGGATACATAAGAACTACACAGATTAGACTGTAGAAGATGCTTTAAATTTTTTGTGCAAAAGGAGTTTCTCTCTTAATTGTCCTGAAATTTTTTTCAGAGACCTTCCCATTTCAGTCTCAAGTCTTATAATGTTAAAAAGAAATGTTTTTAAAATATATSTTTTCCTGAAACAGAAAGATTTATTTCTTTTACCATGTCTTCCTTRTTTGGGTTTTGTGGAATTTTGTTTGTTTGTTCATGTTGTTGTTGTGAATTTTTTGTGAACTTTTTTTTTTACCAGAATTATTTTTTTTGGTTCTAAAAAGTCACCTCAAGCATTCTTGAATTGGAAACAGAGGAGACAGCCTGTACTCCCTGCTCTGTCACATGCCTCTCTTATGGTGTCACACAATCAGCTTTATAAACCAGCTGATTTATTTGGGAGCTGATGTGATGAAGGGATGGACCTCTTCCCTTCCTTTCCTGTTACTTAGGAGCAGTAAGGAACAAGAACTAGAGTTTGTCCAGGAGTAAAGTTGTCATATTGAAGCATGCATGAAGGGTTGTCTGTGTCCTATCCTGACACATCTGTGGCAGTGAGCTTTCAGTCCTTTAAAAAGCACCTGTTAGTCTACATTGTTTACACCASTATTATCATTTAAAGATCATCTGGTGGTGAACATTTCCAGAAAATATGGTTMAAATTAGGGAGTATGAAAGGTGCTAATATGTGTTGAACTAAAAGACTTCTGAAAATTCCCTGGCTTCAGGATATTTTTTACTGTTGTTAATTTACCTTTTGAATTGGGCTACTTTCTCTACCTGGCAATGAAGTGTGGCAACGTACAGTTGACTTCCCCATATTTTGGATCAGGATGTCCCTCATCYTCTTTGATTACCTGGGTGCCTATTATCAGAGGTGTTACCCAGGTAGCCAGCAAAAAGACATTTAGTAAATCCCTTCCCCCTTATGCTGTATGCATTATTTTGCCAGGGCACAGAAATTGTACCAGTCTGACTGTGCTGATTGTGTATTTCCAGGTCCATGTTGCCTTTACAACTAACCCTAGRAATATAAATGACAGTATGGTTTTCCTTTCCTTTGTATAGCTTGGTACAAAATCTAGTCAGTTTCTAGCAATGCTTCCAAATAATTTATTAATGTTGTTTTCTTCTTGTAGATTATAACACAAGCGAGCAAAAGCAAGCGTGTAAGAAACATGAACTTTATGTGAGTTTCCGAGACTTAGGATGGCAGGTATGATTATAAATGCTCTTTCCTATCAGTTCAAATTGGGACAATCTATTTTAAATTCCCCCATTATTTACACTGTGTTTTCTTTATGGAAATTAGTATTTCAGTGATGAAATTAGTATTTCAGTGAGACAAATTCTTTAAATGCATTTTGCAATGAATCCTTATCAGTATTGCTATCACTATAACTTTTTTTGCTCTTCTCTCAAARACATTGCATACATTGGGGCTTCATGATTTGCATTTATTCACATAAATTTGAACTACTGCTCAAGAGATGAATGAATCTGCAATAAATGAAACCAAAATCCCCACACCAAGTAATAAAATGCTTTAAATTTTCAGATTTAAACCTCCCTGGTTCAGTGTTGTCTACTGCAGGTCATAGAGATTTTGCTGGGATAGGGTTCTAAGTGAAATAAATCTTGSATCACCGCTCAATGATCTCTATAACACCATGGCTAATTTTATATAATTTCTGAGAAAAACTCATCCTGCCATACAGAAACAAAAAAAATAATGCACTTGCAGTAAAAGGTCATGAAGTCAGAGGAAGGGCATCTTGGTCAAAGAAAATAGAGATCAGTCTAGGGTTTTTTCCCAGAAAGCAAGGAACTTTCTGTAAAGAAAGAACAAGAAGGCCATCWGCAACCTATAACTATTGCATATGTAGGTAAGAACTCAGGGATGGCTGCCCATGAATTTCACATTTCTCTGAATTATTTTAAAAAAACTCTCCAGAAGCAGAACAAGTCTATGAGGAGAAACAGTATGCTACCTCTTTAGTGACAGCTCATTCTTTCTGTACCTTGCCCAGATTCTCCCATGGCCTCATTATCCTGTCTGATATTYTGTAGTGTATTTATCCCCACAGCAGCCTGCAGAAGTAGGCAGAGCCTGTTTTCCCAAGCCTACAAAGCACGATTACCCTGTCCAGGGCCACAGGGTAGGCTTGTGGTATTGAACTCACACCACTGAACAAGTGAGCCATTGTCTCTAGATTACAGGGGTTTGGTTTTTTTTTTTCAAATTATCAACAGTTTGGGTTTTTTTAAAAAAAAAAGCAGTAAATTCTGGTATGCTCCAAGATGTGCAAGGCCCCCAGATCAGTGGCCATAGTGGCCAAGGTAGCTACATAAAAAAAAAATCTACACAAAAACTACTAAAATAGTTAAAAGTTTCATCTGGAAAGCCAGATCCATACTGTAAAATATTTGATCAGTGAAACCCAGAGTGAAATAAGATACAAAAAAAAGATACAAATCCCAAGAAGTAGCTACTTGCTTCTCTCTRCCCTTCCTGCAGCACCTCCATTACCTGGCAAAGGAGGAATTCTGCAAACTAAACACACAGCTTTCATTAACATTTTAAAATATTTTCCCTCTTGTGGTCTTTTGCCCATGCTGTGTTGCTTGAAATACTGAAAATGTATGATTCATTGACATGCCAGTGGGTAATCACTAACAACCCTCAGTCTCACACAGTAATACAGTTAATGGTACTGAGTATGCTGAAGGAAGAGAATACATTTCAATTACTTTTGTTCAATCAGAAGTGCTCAAGAATTTAAGCCTGGAAGGAAAAGTATTCTGCAAGTTTATTTCAATCTTTAATCTCCCATATAGCCTCATTAGTTGATATTCAGTACAGATTTTTAGATTTAATTTAATTTTCATCTCAATTTTGCATGAACTTTTTGAGCAAGTTTTTTTTTTTTTTTTTTAAAAAAAAAACCCATTCATTTCACATGCCACCTTCTGAAGTTCACTGTAGTTGAGCAAGTCTTAGTTTGATATAGTTATAAATTCCCTGAGTGAGAAAATATAACGAGTTGATTTATTTGTTCTTGTTTTAGGATTGGATTATTGCACCGGAGGGCTACGCTGCRTTTTACTGTGATGGAGAGTGTTCTTTCCCCCTGAATGCCCACATGAATGCAACAAACCACGCCATTGTTCAGACTCTGGTATGCCYCTGACTGTGCTAGAGTTACCTGTGGTGCACTTTGTGTCTTTGCTCAGTCTGACTCTTCTGTTTACCACTGAATTTTGATTATTTGCGGGTAAATCATAGCTCATTTCAAAACCCAGCTTTGGTGATTGTTTTGGAGAGAGGATGAGCTTCTCAGAGGGGTCTGTGTAGTAGGTTTCACCTCTRTTTCAAATGCAATAGGACATGAGAAGACTGTATTATATTACTGGAGAATTGTGTAGGCAGGAACCAAAGGGGCCCCCTGGTCTGACTTCCAAGAGTTTTTGCAGCTTATTGAAGCTCAGTGTTAACATCTACATGTTATACCTTCCAGAAATGATGACACTTGGCCACTCTGAGGACCTCTGTTGTCAACTGTTGGCAGAGATTCTTACGCTGTAATTTAATGTGAAGCTTTGCAAACAGATGCATTTGCATGTAAGAAATTGTGTTCAGTCATGCCTGGCTTACAAATGCAATTTAAAAATAAGTGTGTTTGGATCTGCTGCTCTGCCTGGTACATGTAAAAGGGGATTTGCAGCCAGCTTTCTGCCTCTGCTAATTCTTATGTTAGTCCTGTGCCTCAGCTAGAGMAGCCAAAAAGATGATCTTAGTTGAGGCAGCTGGCTAGGCTTCCTCTACCCAGCAGCGCTCAGTACAGAATCCATGACCTTTAGATTATGACTAAATGGAATGCTGTGAGGCCAAAAYCTGGTCAGTCTGATTAAAAACTGATTTTTCACCTGTGCCAGCTGAAGAACTGGCTCTGAATAGAACTGGTATTAGCAGAATTATTGAGAAGGAGAGGAATGAGAGATCGCACACAAGAAGGAAGTGACAGCATGAAATTAGAACAGGAAAGGRTTGCCATCCCCAGTTAGTTTCTGGAAAGGTCAAGGCACTCAACTGCAATTACTGAAGTGCAGACTTAAGATTCCCTCTGATTTAAACTGATAATAGTAAAGTTTCCTGCCCATCAGATTATGCTGATGAGTCTATCCACGGACAGTGATCTTTTTCTTTGATTTTCACATTAAAAGTCTTGGCCTGAAAAATCTTTCCCCCTTGGGAAATGAGGGGAAATACTACCCGGGATACCACCCCCAGTATTGCCCTCAAATTAAAACCCCASGCCAAAAAACAAACCGAAACTAAACAAGCATACAAACAAAAATAAAGTTTGATTTCTTTCTGATAGAAAACAAATTCTGTTTGGGAAAATTGGCAATTATTTCTACACGAGAAGGACATTTTAAAAAATTCAGCGTGTGCTGAGACCTTTTCCCTTCCATCCAGCTTTTCATTTACTCACCTTCTCCAAGTCTAGTCACCAATGCAACATTATTCCTCTATACTACAATTCGAGTCAGCAAGATTTACAAAAAGAAGGGGAAATGTCAGAGGCTGAAAATAAGTAGAAGTGTGCTAAGGGGTTCAGGTGAAAGGGAACAGAAAATGCCAGTTGGCAAAGAATATAGCAATGTGCTTAAAAGACAATGCAGAACAGCATATCTGCAGCCCTGAGCTGAAAATAAATAGGTCAGCAAAGCAATATTTAGCATTATGGAAACATTGTCCAGAAAAGTTGCCAATATCACTGAGAGCCCCAGGTTAGAGTTCCCTCTGGCAATTATGGGCTGTTAAATAAGAGTTGGCCTAGTGCTACTTTCTCTTGTGTGTCTCTCCTGTCCCAAAATGATTATTTTCCCATTGTTAAGAAATGTGTGTAGTTTGTCCTGTTTTTTAAATTGGATACTTAATTTTCCCCCTTTTATGACCATTTTGGAATAGTGTGTCTCCCTCTGCATGTACTGCACATGCATTCAGTTGTGCAGCCAAAAAATCGTGAGGCTAATTAAATTTTAGCCGTACATAAATTAGATGAGATAACAGTAGTTGAATGCTTTCTGGTTTAAATTATATAAAATTCAGACTTACACAAGGTGTGCACATGGGGATGGCTTGGGAAGCAATTATTCATAAACTCCACCCTAATCCAAATGCAGTCATCTCCCAGCCATACCGATTACACCATCCTGAAAAAGCCTACCCTTTGGGTTGGGAAGAGATTGTTCCTTGGTACCCCTCCAAGCCTTACTGATGCTATTTCATTTTCTTTTGTAACAAGAACAAGAGAAATACTGGGCCAGTACCTCTYTCTCTCTGTCTCTCTCTCTTTTCTGCAACTGAACCCAGGAAAACAGACAATACAGATGCATATAAATAAATACAAGACAGGGTGCATTTAATGAGTTCTATAAACTTTATTCTCCTCTCTCACTTCCCATCACCCTCAGAACAGGCACAGGCACATGACTTCCTGCTCATGCAAGGCAGTGGATCATCAGGTTGGCTTKCACTGAATTTGGGGTAAACTCTTGAAAAGGCTGTGAACATCACTTCCATGGGGGTATCGTGGGGCTGCAGAAATTCCATCTGGGATGGCAGGGGCTGGTGGGATCAGGATCTATGGCAGGGCAAACATCTGCCTAGGTGAGGCACAATCATTCTTTTCTCCAGTGCTTTGCTATTCATTTGTTAAATAGTTTTCAAATGTGTGTCTAAACTGTTACAAAACTGCTACTTCAGGATTTATTATTGCTCGTTTCAAAAGGCCTTCTCATGGTAACTGTTATGTAAAAATCGTTTCCTGATAGACTGTTCTCTGTTGTCTGGCAAAGGCTCTGGGTTTATATCACTGCAAGACAGATGGCTCTAACAGATTTACAAAGACTTAACATACAAATGAAACCTATTACTGCTGAAGTCTTCATCCATGCCTTAATAATCTCTTGCCCTCTCTATTACAACTCCCTCTTCTCTGGCCTCCCCAGTTTCCAAGTCTTCAGCATGTGTAGAATATTACATCCAACCTTCTTTCAAGTACAAAGAACTTGCATTTCCCCCATTTTCAGATATTTCCACCAGATCTTGTTTGCTCTGGGATGCTGTTCAAAACTCTCTGTTCTCTTTAACCTTTCATTGTTATATTTCAGCCTAGTGAACTTAAAGGCTTCTCTGCCTCAGCCCCTTCCCCAAACATTCTTTCCATCTGGCACCCATCTTATGAACTGATTTTTTTTTTTCAGTGGAAGTAGAATTGGATCCACTGTTAGATAAGACCTTAAAAAGCACTCATACTGCCTGAGACCCCACTTCTTACCATTGCATAGGCTGAAAACAGTTTCAGTATGAGGCTTTGCCTGCAYAGCCTTTGCTGTCTGCCATAGATTTTCCTCCACACTGAGCCCCCAAAACAGGGAATCATTTTAGCAAGTCTTGGAGTCCTGGTGAGACCTGGGGCTTGAGCCTTTGCTTCATGTTATGCCCTGCCCTCRGCAAAGATGGTACTGAAAAATGTGTTTGAATGTTTTTCTGAGCCACTGCCTAACTTCAATTCTTCTCTAAATTTCATCTGAAAACCCACTTTCTRTCTTGGCCACCTTCTCCTCCTTTATCTCTCCATCTGCTTTGATTGTATAACTCTGCCCATGCAATTGAAATCAGAGAAATGTGCTGGAGGTAAGCATTGTAACCGAGGAAAATTTGTGACCACAGCCCTCATTGAACTGCAAAGACATGTTTTGCACTGACATTGTCCTTGTACCTTTCTGTTTCATATGAGCTATGTATTTATCTGTCTTTCAGGTTCATTTGATGTTCCCTGATCACGTRCCAAAGCCATGCTGTGCACCAACAAAACTGAACGCAATCTCCGTGCTCTACTTTGATGACAGTTCCAATGTTATTTTAAAAAAATACAGGAATATGGTGGTGCGTTCATGTGGCTGCCACTGAAATAAAAAATTAATCTRAAGCAGAGGGTTTTATTCCAAATTGTAATAAAGTCAAGATATGAGCCTTGCTGATGAAAARGCAGGCCTAAATTTATTCCATTTCATGTCATCTCTCATTTAATTGTACAGTATAATGTATATAGTAGCTTTTATTTATTTAAAAGTATATAGTTTCTTTTGTATGAGCAAAATTTCAGAACCATTTATTTTATGGGTCACCTCACTAAACAGTAAAAGTTCACAAATTAATTTTTCAATTGACCATACTGAAATCTGTTTTATCCCATTTCAATATAGTAAAGTAAAGCCTTTCTGTGTAGATTTTTTTTTAAATTAGAAACTTCAGAACTTCTGTAACTGCTTTGTATTGTTAGAGGAACTAAAATGCATTTGGTCATATTGTGCCAATGAAAACTGTGGCATGGTATTTGTTTAGAAAAAGGCGCAGGAGGAAAAAGCTAAAACAAAACTGCTTGGCGAAACATATTTTTTCTTTTAGAAGTTCTGCYCCATTAGAGAAAGTGAAATGTTGAACAGTACTTAAGTAAATAAATAGCAGATAAAAAATAGAAGTGAAAAAATTGCACATAATTGTTATAACTATTTTCTTTAACAAGATGAGTGTAACTGGAGGAATATGTTACTTTTTGGCTCATGAGCTGCAGAGTTAGCAAAAGGCTCCAGGCTTTGGCAATTCTGTGTAGACAGACTCCTGCCTCTATCTGTGACTTACCAAGTTAACACTAAAAATTGAACTACAATGTTCTTACCTCAAATCATATCAATCTGTTATCTACTACATTGCTCCAGCAGGTATTTTATAATAGTGTGTAAAAAGCCAAAATCAAACAAAAAATCATGCAAACCTTTCCATGACATGCACAAATTACTATATAAACAAAGTATACAGAATACAGGGTATGGAAGGGCTTTGCTTTATTTAGCTCCCACTTCTGGATGTGTTTCATGAGTGTGCAAGGGAAGGCACAGGGGATCCAGCTGCTGTCACCTTTTTAATAAAAACCCTTTTCCCTGGTGGTGGCTGTTTTCAGGCAAAGATAAAAAACACCTTTCATAAGAAGCTGTTGGGTATATTGCAGCCTACTTTTAGTCCCATCTTCTTTTCTATCTGGTGGGGATTGGTTTAAATAATGAGACTCAATACGGAATATTTTTCCTTCTAATTATCATTAACTGTTGTAACTTTGATAGTTMTTAAATCTATATAAATAACTTTTTAATCACACTAAATTTTGGCATCAAATTAAGTACTTTGGCTGTGAATTGCACAACCAATTACAGATTACCATTCCTACCACTACTACATATATGTTTATTTTGATTAATTAATTGCATTTAATGCCTTTGGGCACCCCTTTTTTCATGTAAATGGGAAAACAGAAATTGTCCTTTCTCTATTACATGGCTCATTATAACRTATGCTTTTATCATGAATTGCCTTCATTAAAAATGCTTTCTTTAAACCATTCTCAAAGAGTGGCTAAAAAATGGATAGGATTTATCAGTTTTTTTCTGAACAGTCTGTTCTCGTAAACTCTGACTTCTCTGGTTATTTAAAACATATCTCAGAAAACTCAGATGATTACAGACTGATAAAACCAGCATGTGTGTGTGACTGCATGTAYGCATGTGAATAGGCAGCTGTCGTTTTTGCAGACACTAATTTATTTTAATTTGCTATTGGAGTAACACATAAATCCTTTCATTGCATACACTCAATTTAAAAATAAATAAAAATTAGCCATTCTGATTTCAGCCTCGGGAATCTTTCCGCTTAATAGAACAGTTCCATTTTACACTCTCATCTGTATTTTATACTGACATTACCTAAACACCTACATTTAATTGCAGTTGATGCACAAGGGTGTATAGAAAAATACGTCTCCACCTGAATTACCATTTTAAAAAAGTTAAATTCCTCTATTGTCTTAAAAAAAAATACTGTTTGTTGTATAAATTGGGTYGGTGGATATGCTTTTTTGAACTCAATAAATTCTAAAAGGAATTTGATGGATACTAAATTCTGGGCACATTAAGTAATATATTTTTAAATAATGGTGTACCATTTTGAGACTAAGAAGCTGAAGATTATTGTTTATTATTCTTTAAAATATGCTGTTGGAATATATTTCTATATTTTGAGACATAATAAACCTGTAATACTATTTTCCTCTGCTGTGACTTTGCTTCTTAGACACATGACAAAATGACACTTGACTTGATGTATCCTTTTAAAAGGAAAAGCAGGAGATCACCAATGGCTATGGATAGCTTTTGTTTCAGTTCATTTCTAGTACAGACATTTCGCAAAATTACTTTTCTTTTTTTGCCTCTTAAACAGCGAACAGTGAGMCATCTACAGTAGTAATAAAAATTATGTGTTCAAATCATACCTCCAAGCGCTGGCTCTCTATTCAAAACATAGGAGAAATGTTTTTTAAAATTGTCAATAAACCCATAACTGGTCATTCCTCTGTTCAGAATGAAGGATAGTGGCACCACACTTTCTGCAGTCTCTGGAGAAGTAAATAAATGCATGTTTTCATSTAAACTTGTTCAGGTAAAGTCTTCTTCAGTTGTACCTACTAACACATGACTTTTTGTCCTTTTGCTTGGTCAAATAGTCAAATAATATCACATACCCATTATTTTATGTATATTTATGCATAGCATACACACACACACACTCRTATTTAATGCAATGTGTACATAATTATATAAAATATATGCCCTTAACTGCAGCTGTATCTGTTTCTCTAGCTATGAAAATCATTCCATTATCATTGAGGACACAAGAGCTGTGTTCTTTTYCAAGTTGTTTAAGTTTTCTACATCCTTAACAACTGGAATCTCAAGGCCTGAAAATCAAAAAAATCAGAAGCCCCATACAGAATTAATATTACAAAGCTGACTCGTAGCTGACAACATAGCAATACATTGATAAGTGCAAAATCCAGCTGGAGAGTTCTCAGAGAGACATTGGTGTGGATGTCTCCAAACAAAATGATGATCATACTTCATTCCACCATGCATCTGTCTGAAAGGCTGCTCTGAATGACATGTCCTTAACAATGTCATAACTCTTCCTTCTGCTGTGGTCTGTTTGAGTAAATATGCATTTGTGTGAGTGGTTGGGTAGGCAGAAAATGGAGYCACATGAGCAGCTTGGGTATCTTTAGGAATAAGAAACCAGTCCTTTCTAGCTGCACATAAGAGCACAGCTGTTTGTTTTCTTACTGGGATGTACAAAGCTATAGAACAGTACTTGTTCTTTACATTCTGGTACATGTCAATTATCAGCCCATTTGGRGCCTCGTTTCAGTGAATGATAGATCCATGAGCAGTGTGAGTTACACCTGTCCTGTGGACACCTTCACTGAGACTCTTCAGGGACAGCACAGAGAAGTTGCTCTTCTGGATTATAATKCACCTATTTCTCTCCAAGGACTACAGAGTGGGTTTAGAAAAGTGACTCTGCTTAGACCTTGTTTCAGCAACTTTAGCCAGTGACAACCTCTGACACCTTAAAAATAACATTGTATTGTTGAAGAAGTTTTACTCAGATGTTTATTTGGYATGTGAAGCTTTGAGAAATCTTTTGCGATCATGATGGGATGTCACACTTTTGGARTACAGTTTTCTCTACCATTTTACTTGGGAAAGGTTGGATGGCTGTGTATTTCATCTTGTTTTGGTTGGTTGTTGTTTTTTTTGGCTTTTTTATCAATTCCGCTTTTAGAAAAGTTTAATGATAAATTGAATTTGACTCAAAGATTGTTTAAAAATGTTTTAGTCTTGTACTCATAACACTCTGAAATGTTTCAGCAATAGCAAAGCATTCTAATTACCAGGACCTTAAAATTATGTTATTTGCAATCTCTACAGCTTTTTTGCTCATACATTCACTGTGTGGAGGGAGAATCTGACATGTGGTGCCTGAATGACAAACCAGCCACATGTGAATTATACAGCATTATCTTTTACTATCTCATCTGAAGTCACTGAACTTGCAAAATGTGATTTACAATGTGTTACTGAATTCTTACTCACAGGGCTTGAGCAAGAGCCTGATTAAAAACAAAAGAAAACTAAGCTAGAAAATTCAACAAAAAACAGCAAGAGGAGGTTTTCTTGCCATCTTAATTCAAATAAATCAGCACCAAACGTGGTATACGAGGGGTTGTGAATCTCRTGTGCATTAAATGGGCCTTTTGTATTCTGTTAGCCACATTTACAACACATGACACAGGCACTTCTCCCARCTGCTATATTTCCAGCTAAATACTTTCTGTTCTCTTCCTGTACGTTTTTGCTTCCAATAGGCACCACCGATTATTCTTATTAATATGAATGAATATTTTCATTGCTTTAGCAGATGTTAATGCTTTGCAAAAGAAATATGTGTTACTAGTATTGCTAAACTTTACATGTACAGAAAAGCAGAGAGGCTTGACAAAGAGAAGAGCAGATGAGGGGCAGTATAGGGAAGACAATCAGAACCTCCCAGGTCCCAGTGTTCTGAACCCTGATGCATTCTCTTGGCTAGTGATGCAATTACTTGGCACTTCTGCCCATGCAGGTCATAACTTTAAGGGAAGGGGTCTTAGGGGTTACCTGGACCTATACTTTGCATTAACAAACTATTTTTCAATTTTCATGGTTAYGTGTGTGCAGAATGTAGACAACACCTTTTCATTGTGGGAGTGATTATATATAAAAGCTACTTCTAGGGAACCAATGGAGATTATCGTGCAGCAGATCCTGGAGCACCTTTTCAACAGGGTCATAAATCTGAACCAGCAGAGCTGAAGGCAGTGTTGCATCCCTCCCTTTTCTTACATTTTCCTCCTCCTCAGTGGGAAGTTCAGCAATGCGTTAAGATTGGAACTGTGTTTGTATMTGGGTAGCGGGGGTTCTCAGGCCAGATGTTGGCTGGAGATGTGAGAGCAACATATTTTCTAGGGAACAGCTTTCAGAAAATAATATTGAATCAGAGATATGGGAGCAGATCTTCCCTGTAAAACTTGTCCTGGTCTCTTCTGGGTTTCCAGCTGACTTATGAGCAGAAACACTTTTGAAAATGAGAAAGGTCTTTGACTAAATTGTAAGGAGAAAACTTTGTGGGGGATCTTTCTGGCCTCTCTGCCCCTATAAATTCTTTGACAAAGGAGAAATCCAGGCTTTAACCTGGAGCTACTCAACTGCACCGAGGTCAAACATTGGACMAGACATGATGGAGAAACATGGCAAATATATCAAACTCCCTAAACTGATCTAATTGGAAAATAAAGCTTTTCATGCYTGGTTATTTTCTCGGTTGCTGAGCTGTTTTGCCACAAGGACRTGTGTTCCCTTTTATTCGGTGAATTTTGCATCCACCACTGGGATTCCTTTCCAAAATTAGTGTTTCTCCGTTAACCTCTGCAATGGCTCTTTTCAGCCTTCCCTGCATGTTATCTGTTTTATTATTCAAGACTAACAGCTCCCACCGGGAGTGCTCTTTCCTAGACTGTGCTGCAGGGACAGAACAAAGACAAGACCTGCCAAGTCAGTTACTGTTTAACTGACTGGGATGTGAATCTTGGAGAAAGCTTTTTGCTTACTTTTTCTTTCATTTKTGCATGCATTTGGATTTTTCTTGGTTTTCTGTTTTGGTATGAATTCTTGTGGATAAAAATATGTAGGTAAGTGCATAGGGTTCCATGAAAACTGTCTGTGGAAAGGATTTGTGCATTTAGCAAGAAACAAAATGTCCTTATTGGTTTCCTCTTCAAAATTGGAATTAATACAGCTACTTGTATTCCCCATAAAGAAAACAGTTTTTAGCAAACTACTGAGTTTGATGACATTTCATGTTTTGAAACCTAATTTAGTAAAAATTTAAGAGTTTTTAATTAGCGGGACCTACATTGTATACCTCAGGACATAYATCCAAGGAACAGATCGATATTCTCTGATATATTGGTGTACATACAAAATCTGTCAAAATTAATAGTGCTCTTGAAATACTCGTAAATGTATTTCTGAATCTTTCTGTTTACCCATGTTGGATAGTGAGGTAATGAGAAWGTTTTTCATGCCAGAGTACAATTAACTCCTTAATTCTCAGATTTCTTCTCCTTATTTATAAGGCCTTATGCTTTTACTCTTTCTTCTCACTTATCTAAAGCAAAATGTGGCTGAAGTTAGCTTAAAATTATGGGGAATCGATTTAATGCTTCAGAATTGAACTGAATGTGGAAATGCYCAAACTTTAATAATAAGTTTTAATAACAATCATGAAAGCAGTTTTTAAAAAGTTTTAAGAAGGTCACTGCAGATCTGCAGAGTTCAGAAATGCTGTAGCAGTGGCCATTGGGGCAGAGAAGCCTGGACTGTGCTGGCACCTGGCAGAAGCCCCATGAGCCTGGCAGGGGCTGTGGCCACARGGCACTGATGTTGTCAGTGAGGAGGGAGCAGCCCACATTTGTGGAAAGGAGCCTGGAAGCTGCAGGGYTCCCTTCTCTAACACGCTGCAGACACAGGGGCTGTCCAGCAAGGAAACAGGAGAAGCAGAATGGCGCACAGCAGAGCCCACTGAAAATGCTTKCATTTAATCATAAAAGTTCTTAAAGATATGGCTCTATTTCAAAACCAGAAACWTATTCATTGTGAAATCCCCACCCTGGCTAAAATTTCTCCAGACGTTTCTGAGTGAAACTTCACTGACATTTTCACAGAGGCTTGCTCATTTTTGGCAGGAAAGAATTTGACCCCTCTCTTCAATCATGTTACACCCCATTTCCACTGACTGTCTCTTTTCCCACTCTTTTAGTTTTTCCCATGATGTAAATACACACTACACTAGAAGCAGCAGTGTTCCTCTGGATTTACTTTGGTATAGATAGGTAGCGTTGAAAAATATTCCCTACAATATTTTCCTCTCATTCCTCTGAATCTTTTCCCTTAGCTGACCTTTGCTGTTGAAAAAAGCTGAAACAAATGAGCCAAATAATAATTAAAGTAGAAATCGGGTGACATGTACATATTTAATTGTTTGAATTAGGTAACTAAACAGAATATACAGCTGCTATATCATTCTCCTTACAGTCATTAGTTGCCTGGCACAGCCCTGACTCTAAGCACTAAGGTGTACCAGCCTTCCAGGAGAGCAGTCTGCTTGAACTTTCAAGCAATGCCAGGCTATCAAGCTGTTTCATCTCACAGATGCGATTTTTGCAGATTTTTTGACAAGTTGTCCCACTAGAAGTTGACTCAATACAGTACCATTCTTCAGAAGGGCACAGGAGTGCAGCCAGGAATGGTAACCTCTGCCATTAACATATTTGGATCAGGATGAGAATACCTGTCCCCAGTTTTATTTTCTTTATGCACATGTGCATTCATTTCATTCTAGATATTAATTATTCTAGATATTAAAAACAGCACCATGGCTTTTCTAGCAGGGAAGACAGTAAAACCCATCTGTGGTGTTTTCTGTTTAGTATTTCTGCCTTTTTCTCTATGATCTAGTTTTTGTGATTGCCC